CCAGGACGTGAACCGGCGACCTTCTTGCTGCGAGGCAATGATGCTAACCACTGAGCCACCTTGCAGCCCTGACTATAGTTTGTAAACAAACAAAAAACAAATGAACAACAGTCTCTCATGTTAACATTTGATGTTTTGTCAACCCTTTCTCCACCCCGACCTCCTCCCTTAGTGGCCTCTGGGACTCTACATCACCTCATTTCTTTCTTTGCACCCATCATAATTAGTGACACTGACAAACTCTGCTTTGGGTTATAAGAAACTGCTAGCACAAATGATATCACATGGAGCTGTGTATAAATAGCACGCCACCTCCAGCACATGTCACGTCTATGCATTTTAAGTTTTTCACGTGTCATTTCACAGCATTAAAAATATCACAGGAGATGGTCGAGGTCAGGAGGAAGGGGTTGTTTGTCGCCACTCCATGGCATGCGATGACACGGCAAAAACAAAAAATGCATTCTGATAACGTGAAGTGACTTTGCAGGTTGTTTTCATGAGACCATCCTGCAAATTACCGTTTGGGTTGTTTTTCATGGGAGGAGAGAAGAAGAGAACAGGCACATGTGTGTTTTCTGTTTTGTCAGCCGTGTATGAGATAAATGACCAAAAAATACACGTAGACATGCTGTTGGTTTAGAGCTGAGCTGTCACACATCCTACAGTATATTGAGCCATGAGTTAATTCAGTGTTTGGATTTTGCTAATTGTGTTGCACTAAAATATGTTGAACAGCAGGAGCTTGTGTCTTATGACTTTCCAACAACATATGGGATAACAATGTCACTCTGCCTGTGCTGTTTTCTGCTCTGACCCTTGCTGAAGGCTCAGTTTGGGGTTACTATTAAACACCTCTTAACTTTTTGACAGAGTTCACACGTCCAGCTTGTGCATGCATTTATCAATCTGCACAGTTTCCCTGTAGAACGCAGCCTTTACACTCTGCAAGAGCAGGAAACAGTGTGAGAGGCGCAGAGAGGGAAAGAGCCGCAACCAGGAATATCAGGACTTAAGGCTGCATGAGTTACAGCTCAGCACAGCTCAGCGAATGAGTTACTGTTATGCAAGAGCTCAGTCAGCCCAGCTGGAGATCAGAGCGAGAGAGAGAGAGTGCAGCGAGCAGGGAGAGCACGAGTGAGCGAGCCGAGGGACGGAGAGGAGGAGGCTGGACGCACAACAACAGCAAGTGAGCAGAGAGCAGGCAGATTACAGCTGGATCTAGCACACATGAACACACACAAACACACTCTTTCCCTTCTCCTCTCTCCATGCAGCATCATGAGTGGGAACACTGAGGGGGTTTTCCTCTCCCCACTGACTGAGTGAGGAAGGAGTTCGGACAAGAAGAGAAGAGCAAACTTTCCCCTGAAGGATCTTTCTTCCTCTTTTAGAGCCCGGACCATGAGGCTGTGAATTCCTTTCCTCCTCCTCCTCCTCTCACAGCTCCTCTTCATCACCATGTCTCTGAAAGCGGGTGGAAGTGTCCACCTCTGGATGCTGCTGTGCTCCCTGCTGTGTGCTCCGGTCCTGGTCAGAGGCTCCACGCTGAGCCCCAAGGAGTTGCAGAGCAGCGCTGCCACGTCGCCGCCGGAGGACTGGACCGGCACGATGATCCAGCTGCAGCCAGACCTGCAGACCGAAGCCCAGACGCTGACAGAAGCACAGACAGAAGCGCAGACGGAAGCACAGACGGAGATGGTGACTCAGAGCATCACCAACAACTATACAGGTGGGTCTATCGGCCAATCACACGTTGATTTTACTGTCCAAATATGCATGTGTGGAAAGTTTTGTGGTGCATGGCGACTGTGCAAAAGTTGCCTTTAAAGATACATTTAGTGCAAATTTTAATTAAGTTTTCCCTCTTTTTACATGAAAGGAAGGTGTTCATGTGTCTGGGTGCAAGATGAAATCTCACAGGGTTGCAGTGAAACCATGCAAACAAGGAAAGCTGGTGTTTACATTGGCACTGTAGGGATTTGATGCCAAAGTTTGGTGCCACTTTAAAAGTTTTGGCCCTGGTGGCATCCTGTATTTACTGATTTGTTTCTTATTATGATGGATGTAAATAATGTTGATCACATGTGTAGTTTGGAAGTGTTGACCAAAACACTGGATCAGTTATCGTTATTTGGCTTTTCATGGTTAAAACTCCAACAAAAAGGTAATTTATAACAAGTCATTTCAAGGCTCTGGAGTCTGTAGCAGCAGTGCGGTCTGTTTCCTCGTCTCCTCACCTGAACCCGTAACACTAAGCCCAACCATGAGAAGCAGTCCTATGGGAAACACACTGGACCTGGATTTCTACTGCCAACACAAGAAAAAAGTTTCTGAAGCGTCTTTGTTTGACCGATGTTTGTCTTTGAAAGCAACAGAAGTGCCTGGAAATTCAGTGTTTTCACGTCGAAAGCTGTTTTGCAATTTTTCACTTGAGCACCCATCCGGGGGGAGACGCTCTGAAAACCTCCACTTTGTTTTTTGTAATTCAAAAGTATTTACAAAACTAGAAAAGACGTGTTGACTTTGCCGTCGAAATTCATCAGGAAAGCGAGCTTGATTTGAGCGAGTAAACAGCTGTCTGGCTGCTGCAGAGTGACTTACTCACGCTTTTTGCTTTTGTATGATAGTAAATCCTTGTGTGTGTAAGTGTGTGTGAGCATGTTTCTCAGCGAGTGTACACAAAGTTTTTGACTTGAAGGAGCTGTTTCAGGGTCGGACACTTAGTTTTAAAGCTTGGTTTGAGTTTAGGATAGGATGCTTTGGGTTAGAAACTACACCAAGGGTCTGTAGGACAAGAATTGAGAGTGTTTCTATATGTGTGTCTTGTGCTTGTCTGCTACAGAGGTGTGAGTGGTTGTGTGAGGCGGCAGGTGATGCAGTTAAAGACAGTTCGTTGTGTCCAGACTGGAGCTGCTCAGCCTGAAGAGAAAGCTGCAGCGCCGCTCGCATGACTTCACCTCCACTGGAGCATGAGCTGCCTTTCTCTTCTCCTCCCTTCGCCCATCTCGCCTCTTTTCCTTCCTCCTCTCTGTCCATATGTCTTTGTTTACGTGCTCAAATCCCTATCGGTGTTTTCCTGCTAATTGCGCATCCTCACTTCATCACTTTGATTCCTCCCTCCAGCTCCTTGGTTTCCCTCGTTTCTTTCTTCCTCCTTCAGTTTCTTCCATTCTTGTTTCTTCTCCTGTTTCTTCCCACTGTCTCTCCCTCTCTCTCTTTTTCGTTTTCCACCATTTATTCTTATATCCCTCGCCCGCCCCTTCTCGCTCACAGTGCTCATATCCTCACGTGTACGCATAAATAGCCTCCAGCAGACGACAAAATGCAAACCTCACGTGCCTAATACACACACAATTCATGCGCGCGCACATTGGAAATGGACGCACTCGGCCCAAACGACCAATCTTCTTAAAGGTTTAGAGAATAAACAACACAGTTGCTCATTTCATAACGGCAGCTCTGTGTCTGACCAAGCAGGAATAAGTACTTTATACTTTAATAACACACACACACACACACACACACACACACGAGCACATACAGGTGATCAGCTGGCTTGCCACATCGCACCACATGCATGAATTACACCAGACCTGAGCTTTTCTGTGACAGAGCGTCCAAAAATGTGAAATCCTGGAGGTGTGATTAATATCAACCCTCCCAGCGGTACAGTGTGTGTGTCTGCCTGTATAAACTGCTTATTCCATTTGCATTAATAGATAACAGCTGCACTACAGATTGTGTTTACCATCGTCCACCGTATTTTAAACCATCTGACTCGTCCTTTTAGGAGTAAAACACAAAATTAATACTGTGTTAATGCTTAGACATTTTATTTATTTTAGTTTTAGCTCCTTGAATATGAAATCAGTATGAGTTGTCATTTAATGGACAAAAACAAAGGAAAAGATTCCAGTTAAATATAGAAGACTTCTACTCTGAACACAACCAAATCAAAGGCACTAAAGAAAGGCAAATTTAGAAGGAAGGGTTTGTGGTATAACAGAGCTGCTCCACCTTTTTTTTAAGGCCCCACAGGCCTCTCAGATTAACAAAAGTGCTCCTTCATGATTACCAGTCCTTGTGTTGCACAGCCACTGATTTGATCTGATTTTTAACTGAGTGTTATTTCACTTTATTTTTTATATAAAAGTTGTTTTCAGTATGCTTTATCATAAAATGGAGATATTCAGGTTGGTTTGGTCAAGTTTTCATTGGTATTACAGCGACAGAAGCTACGTTTCAGCCATTTATTCATTAGCGTTAGCCATGTTTTGCTGTTTTGTACCATTCATCCATGACTTTTAGGTAACTTTTTATCCATATGACGAGTTAAACTTTACATGAAACTTTTGGACAACTATTTCTGTCATTCAACGATTAATTTGCATTGTTTCAACCAATTATCCATAATTCTCAGCTAACAGTTTTAACCATTTTCTGTCACTTTTAGCTAGCTCTATAAACCAGTTGTCCGTTACGTTAAGCCAACTATTTTAACCATTTACCCATTACTTTTAGCTAACTAGTTTAACCAGTCATTTGTCACTTTCAACCATTCCCCTGTTACTGTTAGCTCAATCTTTCAACAAGCTATCCATCACTTTCAGCTAGCCGTTTTCACAGTTTATCTGCCACTTTTGGTTAACTATTTTAACTATTTGTCCATCACTATTAGAAAATTCTTTCAAACATTTAGTCATTACTATTATTCCTTTACTTTTGGCAAACTATTTCAATCATTTATCCTTCACTTTTATAAAACTAAAGTTTATCCACAACTTTTAACTTTCTGAGCTTTATTAATTTTAGCTAACCTACTTGCTCAATTGAAACATGCAGTATAGCTACAGGTGTTACACCTGACTCAAATATAACTCAACATATTCTTAATCAGTTCATATTTTTTCTAAATTAGATTAGCTGATATACACACACACACACACACACACATACATAAGTTGCAAGTACCTGTGGCTGGAAATCCCTGCAGTATGGTAACAGGCTACTTTCCAGTCTAAGTACAAGTTCATGTAGAGAGTAAAACCCCAACAAAGTTATTAAAACCTTTTAGAGGGGAACTCTGTCGTTGCCACAACCAACCCCTGTGGGTTTGCTTGTGGCGTTATAGCCATTTATAAAGCTTAATTAATCATCACATCGCAGCCAGGTCGGAGGTCAGGACCTGGGAGAGATTCAGTGTCTGCAGACAGAGTCTGAAAGTCACCTCCGTCCTGTCACCTGCTTCCTGAGCCCACGGTGTTAAAATCGATAAACTGGTGATGCAGACGTGTGATGGTTTAGCACATAGATCTTTGGAGCGCTGGATCAAACCAGAGCTTTCAGACTTCATCAATACAAGCTGCGATTCATTATGCAGCTCGTCCAGGAATCCTTGCCGCCGGCTATTCCTGGAAGCAAATTGATCAGAGCTCTGCTATCGATTAAGTTGTCCTCAGGTGCTTCTCTTTTAACATCTAACAGGCATTTGTAACCTTCAGGCTTAAATATGTAATTCTCTTCATTTTGTCTCACTCATTTCATTTTTCTTTTTTTACCTTGTACCTCATCCTATATACTATAATCTACTTGACCTCAGATCAGTAGAGTCCAGCTTGTTCTGTCATTTCTCACAGCACATTATACTCATATTTTACAGTAGGTATCGTGTTAACTGCAGAAAAAAGCCCATATGTGGCTAGAGGCTGTAGGATTGGACAAAACTTCACAAAAAGTACACGAAAACTTTAAATATTGAGGGAAACATAAATATATTAGGAAAACTTCACTGTAATCCATCCAATAGTTGTCAAGACATTAAGTTCCAAACAACAAACGTCAGCCTCATAGTGGCACTGGATGAAAAGTGCAAGTCAGTGCATCAAAGACATTTGGTTTCATCATCTTCAATCATAAATATCTTTATAAAACCTTGTCTTTTTTTACTGTAATAATGAAAACTTTGACCTCATGGTGGCACAAGAGGAAAAATCGAGAATCACCAAAGTCTGGAAGATTCAGACTGACATTGCCATCCTCAGATCAACACCACTAGAGTCGTCTGACTAACTAGATGTATCGTCTCCTCCCCTTCTGCTGTCTGCATGTTACTGTTTTCTCTTTACTGTGGGAAACAACAGAAGTCATGTACATATTGAAAACAGCAAGTTTTGATGATGATGTTGCAACAGGGCAGGTCTGTTTGATTTCTAAAGTGAATGGAGCCTGAATATGTTTTAAACGTTTGCCGTCAAACAGGGATGGTCTTGCATGCTTCACCAAAACAAGTTCCCTGACACTATTTTGCAAGGACACATTTGCAGCATCCTGGGCTTAGTGCCACTCATGACGACTGTGATTGATTTGAAAAAATGCAAACAAGCAAGATCATTTTCTCTGTGGAGACAGGTTTGATTATGAAAGTGAAGCTAAAAATACAAGTTATCTCAAGTTGTCAAGTCGGGAAGTTCACCAAGAAACATTAAGGATGATAACAAAAGGTAAATAGAAATAAAAATGCATCACGCTGGTAGAAATACTAAGTGGTTAACTGCTTCTGCTAAGTCTGTTCGTGATAAGTGTGAGAATACCTGGTTAACATCAGACTGAGCTGGTGATTCAGTGAGAAGCTGCAGCGCTCTAGTTGGTATCCTGATCCATCTCCTGCTAAGAAACTGGCAAAGTCCTGATGAGCAGCGGTTATTTCAGCTTTAGAAAAGTCCTAAGCCT